CACAATATATATATATATATACACATAATATATCATAATATTGGTAGCATTATGTAGCATTAGAAGACTGTTGACAGTTGGGAAAGAAGAGAACAACCTATGTAATTATCAAGAAATCAAGAAAATCACACTGAATTTGTTAGTTGCATAGCAGCTGCAAAGCTTTTTCACAGCCTGACAGAGAATTTCACCTTCTGACCTCAGATGAAAGGAGTCTGATGAGAGCTATGCAGTGAAATGATGTGACATGATGAAGCACGTGTATTGTCGTTCAATATCTGTCGATGCTTTTGGATGTTCTTGACGGATCTTGACGGATCTTGACGGATCTTGACGGATCTTGACGGATCTTGACGGATCTTGACGGATCTTGACGGATCTTGACGGTTCCATTTTGAAGATTTGAGCTGTTTGAGCTGTTTGAGCTGTTTGAGCTGTTTGAGCTGTTTGAGCTGTTTGAGCTGTTTGAGCTGTTTGAGCTGTTTGAGCTGTTTCCCGATGGTGCAACTATATGGAAATATGATGAAATATGGCAAATCATAGAATTTCGCTGCGTTCGAGTTCTGAAACCTGGCGGATCATTGTCTAGCCTTTCAACGAGCAGTGAGAACGCCCAAATCAGGGAAGGTCAGCAAGACACCTGCCACGGAGTCAATGTCACCACTAAGCTCGGCCGCAAAGACAGCAGTGCTGGATCAGAAGCGTCAAGGATTGTCAAGGATTGTCGTCAGAAGACTCCAGAAATCAGAGGGAAACCTGACAGCTCCAGGCCAGGTCGACCACTTTTGGGACTTGAAGTGTCAACTGATGCTTCTCCCATTGCTAAGAGAAATCCAGCCAAAGAATCCAAAGTCAAAGGAATTGCCATGCACACTAGATCCAAGAATTGAATCCAACACGAACTGTCACTTCCACCGCAAGGGCATCAGAGAAGCACAGAGAATCTGCACAAGCTGTAGGATTCTGTATAAGTTCTGCTTATTTAAATCTTAATAATATAATTTCCATCCATAGTACTGTAAATTCATATAATATATATAATATAATATATATAATATAATATATAATATATATATATATATTATCATGTCTATGTCTTACCAGGAACCCGGTACTGTATGTCACGGTATGTCTTTTCAATTCATGTTGACGGCCTTCGCCAGGCCGCTCCGCTCCAGAAAGGCGAAGCCTTGCGGAGCTCGGTGTTCACCATGTCCATCCATGTCCTTAACAGTTCGTAACACGATCCAAACATGTCGAAACATGTTGAAACATCAACTGATTCGTCGTGTCTCAGCAAAATGGAGCAACCTGCAGTAAGGTTCCTTCGTCAAAAAAATGATCATATGTAATCACGCTGACTGTTTGAAAACCAGTGAATGATGAGCAATTGGAATATATCGGTGTCATCTGACAAAAGCAATCCAGTGTTTTGTACCTTATCTCATTTTGTAGCCCTTCCAGAGCGGAGCGGTCGTGCAGTCGTGCCAGTCGGCGACAAAACCACCCCTCTATGCATCTCTACGGTGTCTCTTTACATCGCCTAGTTCTCCGGCAGATCGATCTCACATGATCTCACGACCAAACAGCCAGGAGGGACATGGTACAGAATCCAAACAAAGATGCCAGGAAACTTCGCCTCTTCCAGTTGCCCTTTCCAAGAATCAATGAAGGCATTAGCATATCATACACGGCAACACACAACAAACTGCCCGCAGCAAAGCAAATCAAGGCCGCAGCACCGGCTCCCTCAAAGCTGGCTGCGAGGAAAGTACCAAGTCCTATGCCTAATGGAGTCATCAAGGAAAGAAGAATCAACAATGTCCACCAGGCTCTCACAGATACTGTGTCCAGCAGCAAAGATCCAGCAGAGAAGGCGGCAAACAGTTTGTGCGCAATGATTGCAATAAACATTTCAGAGAATTCGGACATATCATCTGCAGCTCCAGAGGCAGTTCCCTCAATGAGGGAATGCAGACATAGGCCTAGGACAGCCGACATACCTGCTGTGCAGGACTTCGCTGGTAGGACGACTCGAGGCCGCTCATCCGCATCTGACTCACTCTCTGAATCGGAGTCCTCCTCCATCACATGAGATTCATGAGATTCATGGCCGTGGCCATGTCCTTTGCCTGGCAAAAAGACTTCCACTGAGAGAATGGTGAGGAAACCAATACCCAGCAGAGCATATCCCAATGGAAACGCTTCGGCCGACTTGTCTCCACTCAAGAAGACTGCTATGGCAACTCCCGGTTCCTCCATCTGGTCACTGGCATCAGCGAGCATATGAACCAAGGTAACAGCCAGGAGGATTCCACCAGCCAGGGCATTGGAAACTCGAACGATCTTCGGAGAGAAACTCGCCGCAAACTTTGACAAAGCAGCGCCACTTAACGCCACGATGAACAAGACTCCTGCAGACACAGCCTTTACAGTAGTCAGCCTAGTCATGATGGAGCATTGAACTATACAAATCCTCTTGAACCAAAACCTGCACAGGCATATGCAATTCTACGATATTCTACGCATACAATCACAGAGGATTGTACCACATGACCTGACGAAGCCAAAAGTTGGAACAAGTTGCTTCACCAAACATTAAGGCAGAAGGAGAAAACAACATGAAAAAGACTCACAACCAGGCAAGGTCACAGCGCATAGGAATCTATCATACCATCGAAATCCAAATATTCCAAATATTCCAAGGATCAAAGAAATTCAAAGAATGGATGCAAGGTCCGCCTGGTCAATGTTGACTCGAATCAGGGTCACCTTGCAGCGGAGATTTGGGCTGATCAACAGTAGCACTGCCCATCCGGAGTAGAATTTGGGAGAGATCATGAGCCATACACTGTGATACACTTTCATACAGGTTTTGCGTCTTTGATCGTTGTATGGTTCGAAATGACTCGAATATGAATTGAATGAATTGAATGAATTGAATGAATTGAATGAATTGAATGAATTGAATCAATGTCAAGTCGCCTGTCTGTTTCATGATGCTCAAATCTCGAATCAAGTGACAGGACCCAAGACTCTTAGACACAGAGCGGTCTCGTTGGTTTGTTTCATCCAGGACACCATTGACCAACACCTTAGCGCACAGCTGTTCAGCTCATGCCATTGTTCGAAGGTAGAGAGTTGCAATTACACAAGGTGTCCTTTCCAGAATTTCGCATCCAATGTCAAGTTACAAAGTGTGCTCCAGCAGAATCTGTATCATGTTCCATCCCAAGTGCTCCAACAAGTTACAACAAGTTACAGAAACTCGTCTAGTGACGTGCTGGACCTGTCTCGTGACTTCGGATGAGTTTTTGCATGTCTTTTTGTACGTCTCCAATTTGCACAGCATCACACGTCGTGTATCCACGGAGTCACTCTCCAACTCTGTGTATCTTGTGTGCATCCTTTAAAAAATCTGCCGATTTCAGATGTCACACAACCTCGGGAACACGCAAAGATGACGCCATGTGTCTAGCCAAAGCGCTCACACGGAAAGTCAGTCTCAAGGTGCTGCGGCTGCTCATAAGGCTGCTCATGTCACCTGCTGATCCATTCGCAAAACCTCGCACGAGCTATGAAGATCCATAATGCCAGCTGCCTAGCAGTTACTAGCTACAATAGCTCATGCCAAGTAGTGAGAATTTCATAGAATTTCATCCTGCATGCCAAAGCTGGAAAGCAACTGCTTCGACTGCTTGTGCTTACCGCTCCCTTTCCACATCTCTCATATCTTCTCTGCAGTTCCACAACAAGGAGCTGAAAAATCTGTGCGGTATCTGCGTCTGTCAGGCCATCCAGTGAAGTTGTCACCTGTGGACGCACGGCATGTTACAATGCATGTTGCCAGCCAAGTGACTTCTTTGCTGAAAATGCAGACAGTCTGTTTTGAAGCTTCCAATCTTAAATTTGGTAGCTCCGATGGAACGAAATGAGTTGGTCAGTACATCTGCTTGCCTCGTGAGACCCTCCTGGCAGGCAATCTGGATCTGTCGTAACGGTTGCAAGGACCAGCTTCAGTCCTCATTTGTGGTGCATTTTGATTCTGCTTCATTCTGTGATAATAAAGAACCCGATATCGATATTATATATATATGATATATATATAATATATATATAATATATGATATACAAATCTGTTTGGGAACGGCTCACGCCGACATTCACTGAGTGCTTGGTTAAGAACTATCAAGTGCATCAAGTGCTGATTTAGAGGAGGATCTGGCCAAGGACACATCTGTCGCCAAATTGCTCGACGCATGCCTGAAAGGTCCACAAAGTTTGCAGCACACTACTTAAATGCAACCAACACAGACAATTCAGGGTTATGCAGCTATGCACCATCTTCAAACCTCACACCCTTGATAGCACCACCAACATCTCTCATCAATTCTCATCATATGATCTGTGTTTTTTGGGAAGTGTTTGTTCTCACCACCTGATACTGCATTGCAAATATTGCAATTCAAATTCACGCTTTCATTAAAAATCAGAGTGAAGGGTCCAAAGGGTTCCTAGTTCAATCGTGACGCAAATTCAATCGATGGAGGTTGCTTGGACACTCTTGTTACACTTGTTGGTAGATATTAGGAATTATTAGGATATTGTATAGATCAACACATCGCGAACTGGCCAAGTCACAAAGTAATGCTTAAATACGGCACGCCGGCTTTGACAAAGACGTAGTGGCTTGTTGCCTGTAAGGGATTGCATTACTCCTTGGTGTGCACGAAAGTGACCAAAAAGTCTGAGATGCAGCAGAAAGTACACAAACATATTCAGAAGTGCTCTTGAAAGCAAAACTACTGAAAAGTTGATGGGGTGAACGGCAAATGGGGTGAGGTTCTAGATTTAAAAAACATGGAAAATCGTGGATTGAAATGGAAAAATGTGGAACATTAATGAAAATTATATATGTGTTTGTGGTATTTTGTGGTACTGGT